TGTGGCCATGTTCTGAAGGTTGTTCTTCCTAATGTTTCGCCAGTCTCTGTGGCTGGCATCTTCAGAGGACAGCACTCCTTTCATTCATTCATTCATTCATTCATTCATTCATTCATGAGCACAGAGTGCTGTCCTCTGAAGATGCCGGCCACAGAGACTGGCAAAACATCAGGAAGACTGTATAGGCATCCTTCAGTCTTGAAAGACTATGGTGACGTGCTCTGTATGGAGAACTTGGAACAACGTTTAGTTGATGTTAAGGAGACGAGGTGGACATCCAGTCTTGGGAAGTATTTTAAAAAGGCCATCCCTGCTAACCAAGTCAAATGCTTTCGTAAGGTCTATGAAGGCCACTAAGAGTGGCTGTTGTTGTTCCCTGCATTTCTCCTGCAACTGTCGGAGGGAGAATACCATGTCAGTGGTGGATCTATTAGCCCGAAATCCACACTGTGATTCTGGATAGACTCTGTCTGCAAGCACCTGGAGTCTCTTCAGCACAACACGGGCCAGCAGCTTCCCCACAACGCTAAGAAGAGAGATGCCACGGTAGTTATTGCAGTCGCCCCTGTCGCCTTTGTTCTTGTACAACCTTCAGAACAACCTTCAGAACACGGCCAAAGAGCCTGAAAAACCCACAACAACCTCTACAATCTCTTCCGCCTCTCCCTCTGGTAATGACTCCTCGGGGACTTTCTCCGGCATAGACAGGAGTTCTCCTTCCCCTCCACTCTCTGCTCCCTTGGTGAGGAGGGGATGGTGCTCCAGCGAGCAGGGACCCTGACTCGCGTCCTGTCTCGCATCAGGGAGACGGCAAGCATCCCTGTTCCTCTGGGCATGCGCAGACTGACCTGCAGCCTCAGGCTGACCAGGCAGAGCTGGCCACGTGTGCTTCTCTGCGCATCATGGGAGGGCGTCTGAGTTTGTTGGGTGGGTGGGTCCTCGTGCTCCCTTTCCGTGCTTTGCCAGTTGAGTCCAGTTGCCCAGGACTCCCTTTCCAGATAACCTCCCTCACCAGGATGACTGAGAATCTTCACAGACACTCAGTGCTTGGAAGTTTAGATGACACAATAATAGCTAGAAGTGGCCACATTAAGCGGGATTTGTGTTCTGAGGACAGGCTTGTTTCCCATATTCCTACATTAGGTCAATAAGGCGATGGCAAAGCCTCTCCAGTAACTCCCGTGTAGTTTTATGCTCTTGTCACTCACGTGCTCTTGCCAAGGACTGTGTTGCTGGTCAAACTTGTAGAACCTGTTCCTTGATTTTGTTACGATTTGTGCCTTGTAAGAGTAAACCTCTTCTTTTCTATTGCCAAGATGTCATGATTGGAGCTGTGTAGCCTCCTGTCATCATCCTTCTGCAGAAACCATTTTCTTTCAATAAAACCCTTTTCTGTAAAATCCCTGTTGTTCTTGTGTTGAGTTGCTAGACCTCTCTTTCTCTCGAGATGCCTGAATGAGTTCCTGAGGCAGTAAATTAAACCAGTTTTCTTTTTCTTTTTTTAACAACAGGTTGGGGGCCTTCTCATGGGTTCTTGCATGGGTGGGGGGGGTAGGCACACCTCCCAGGCCAAGAAGCAGCACCCTGCCTTTGGCTGAGAAGTAGTGGTCAGGGAGAAGGAAATTGTCCCTGTTCCTCTGAGCATGCGCAGACTGAGCTGGAGCCTCAGGCTGACTGGGCAGAGCTGGCCGTGTGTGTGTGTGTTGAGGGAGGGAGGGTCTCCTTTTATGCCAGTGGGTGATTCAAAACAGAAGGTGGGATCTAGAACCCTCAATGATGGAAGGGAAAGGCCAGCCAAACAATGACATGCAACCGAGCATTCATTCATTCATTCATTCATTCATTCATTCATTCATTATTTTATATACCTGGCTATCCGGCTACCAGGGCCACCAGGCTTTCCCACCAGGACAGTGGGGTGAGTGGAGCAGCCTTGCCTTCAGGTTTTGGGGTCTCTGACCTTTTCAGAGCTGGGGAAGTTTTACTCTTTGGGGGGCTACTACCCCAGAATACCCCCAACCACCATGTGGTCTGGAACAGGTTCTAGCTTCTCAGCTCCAGGGATTCCTGGATGAGACGGATTCTCTAGATCTCTTTCAATCTGGCGCCAGGCTTTGTTATGCGGCAGAGATGGCTTGGTGGATGTCCTAATGTGACAGGCTCTCCTTGCACCCCAATATGATAACGGAAGGAGATACCCTCTTTTATCTTTCCACTCAACTGTGTTTATTCTTAGTTCCCTAACGACTTTCAGTCTATCCAGAATCAAAGTGTGGATTTCGAACTCATAGATCCATGACTGACATGGTTTTTTTCCTAAATCAGTTGCAGGAGAAATGCAGGGAACAACAAGAGCCACTCTTTGTGGCCTTCATAGATCTCACAAAGGACTTTGATTTGGTTAGCAAGGATGGCCTTTTTAAAATCCTTCCCACCTCAACTCCTTAACATCACCAGGTCCTTTCATGAGGGAATGAAGGGCACTGTAGTTTTTGATGACTCAACATGAGATCCCTTTGACATCCAAAGCGGAGTGAAACAGGGCTGTGTCCTCACGCTGACCCTGTTTGGGATCTTCTTTGCTGTCATGCTGAAGCATTCCTTTGGAACTGCAACCGAGGGCGTCTATCTCCGGACTAGATCAGATGGAAAGCTCTTTAATCTCTCTTGATTGAGAGCAAGTACCAAAGTCCAACTGAAATGCATGCGGGACTTCCTCTTCGCCGATGATGCAGAAGACTTCCAAGAACTCATGAATCATTTTAGTGAGGCCTGCCAAGACTTTGGATTAACAAAGAAGAAAACACAAGTCATGGACCAGGGCATGGACTCACCTCCCTCTATTACCATCTTCACACAAGAAATTGAGATTTTTCATGACTTTGTGTACCTGGGCTCAACCATCTCTGACACCCTCTCCCTAGATGTCGACCTGGATAAACGCATTGG